GCCAGGGGCAGCATAGTGGGGTTGCATGGTGGGCCTCACGGGCGTCTTCTGTGAAAGATAGGGCATGTCGAATAGACTAAGCCTGGGCAATTTATCCAATTATTTCTCGATATGTGGAAAGGATTCCATTCCCATGGATCTCGTCATCTCTCTTGTCCTTTCGATCATAGCCGCTTCACGGTCAGCAGACTGCACCTGATGCTGCACGTTTTGCCCTTTTTCTTTCAAGGACTCGGTGATGATAGCTCTGAGCTCCATCACCCTTTTTCTCTGATGCAACTGCGCGTGCCAGAGCCTCATCCTTCTCTCGAATGTCGGCAACTGACCTTCTGAGCTCCGTCTAAGCCGCTCCTCAGCTTGCTCCTTCATCCGCTGCATATTAAGTTTATCAGCGCGAAATTCATCAAGGAGCTTCTGCTGTTGGGCCCGAAAGTTGTGATCAGCACTATGTCGTTGCCATTGCCCATCCCACTCCGCCTGCTCCACAGGCAAACTCTTTCGTTGAGTGCAAGTGGAACGCCGTCTGGTGCTCGTGTCAAAGTGGTCTTTACATCTTGGCAACCCACAAGTGGCGCATTCTCCAATTTTCGGATTCGAGCATATTGAGCAATTCTCTTCATTGGCTCCTCTCGCAGGCTGTAGCTGCTGGGCAGCCCTTACTCGCAGCATCGGCGGCGTTCCGCCCTCCAGGGGCGGAAGCCAGGCTGGGCCTGCGAGGACGTCGCGCCAGACGGCTGGGCCGCCGGCGACGGTCGTCTGCTCGCCCCCGCCGGCTTAGCCGGTAGGCACATTGTCCCCTAATTGCACGCGCTGAAGAGATGCTCTGGCATTTTCATGTAACTTGAGCTCTTCTCGATACAGACTATTCTGATCAACTATAGTCGCAGCTACAACCTGTGCGTTGGCCACTTCCAGCCTGGCAGCGTTAAGTTGGTCTTAGAGCTCCTGTTTATCATGTTCTGCCCTAGCTGTCGCGGCCCTCTCCCCTTCTATTCTCGCCGCCGCAACAGCGGCGCAAGCGGTCTTGGCATCAACGGACTGGCTGCCCCCTGCCATGGCAGCCTGTCGTTCAGAAGATATCGTCTCAGCAATTCGGTTCTCGGCATCTTCTTCCGCGCGCTGCTGGGCGTCTGCGGTTTGATGTGACATTCCTTCCATCAACTCTTGTTCCCGCTTGCTGGCAGCTTGGGCCAGAGCGAGTCTTTCAGCCTCGAACTTCTTCCGAACATCTTCAATAACTGCATTAATTTCTTCTCGATCCAGTCGGGCCTGTTCGGCCCTCTGGGCTTCGAGGATCACGATTTCTTGCTGAGTTTTGGGCCTCGACAAATCTGGCCTGATCGTGCATAGCTTGAATGAGAAGGTATGAACAATTATGTTCCTCCATCTGAAAGCAATCCTCGCGCAACCACTGATTGCTGCAATTAGGACACACGTCAGAACAGTTTCCACACACTGGGCGCTTACAGGGCCCCCCCTGTTTGCGAGCTTTCCCCGGGCGCCTGCTTTCCGCCAGGGGCGGGCAGTCGGGGCCCCGGTTCCAGCATGCCTCACGCATGGATACTGTACTGTTACTCCTCGAAGTCGATCGGGCACCAGATCGCGGTATCTTGGGCCTTCCCCTTCTCGAAGCAGACGATCGAGGACGGACGTGCGTGCTCTCAGGTGGCTTGGCCACCTCTCGAAGCTCCTCATCCCGTTCGTCTTGTCTGACCAACTCATTGAGCGAAGCCGGGGGGTTGGGCATCTCATCATCCTCAACTGCCGCGGGCACCGACGGTTGCCAATCGCCTGGGGCGACGGCAGGTCGATAGAACCCTTCCTGAATCGGGGAGCCATTCAAGTCGTAATATTCATTCCTGTGCTTCTTATGTTGAGGAGCGGGCGTTCGTCCCGTGGTCTCCCGGTCATGTTTCACATGATATTGGTAACCCATATCAACCTCGTCCGCCTGGGGCGGCAGGTAACTGATCATGGTGTCCGAGTCTGGCACTGCGAGCGCCTTCCCAAGAGCTTCCAAGTGATCGTAATCAACTGTCTCTTGCCCAGGGGATGACCTTCCGTCTAGGACGGGGTGGTCAGCAGCGCTTATTAGCGGCAAATTTTGGCTTGGTGACACTTGATAATTTGCGTATTCTATGTCTTCCTCCATAAAGTTTACATCGCCCTCGTCATCAAGCTGTTCGTCGCTATTTTGACCGGGTTGCCCGTTCAAGGCTATCGGGATGGGATAAGTCCCTCGCGTACGCCCCCGTCCGTCTGGGACGGTGGGAAACCCACTGCCGGACTCATTTCCGTCTTGCGACCCACTGGCTTGGCCAGCGGCCGGCTCGACAGATCTCATGGCAATCGGGCTGGAATGTACTGTCTCAGAGGATTCATCAATCCAAGATGAAAAGGCTCTTCGCCTGACATTTGCTGCTGTGCCGTCCCGCCTTATCGGGTCTGGGGTCTGTTCGCGATCCCTAATCGGAATGCGAGTGGGAGAATCATCTACTGGCAAATCTATGACTTCTCCCTCGCCCCTTCCACAAGAAATCCGAGTGGTGTTAGAAGAAGAGGGAAGGCGGCCCTCCCCGGGGCCGCTGTCCTTATGTTCTTGCCCGTCTCGTTGTACAACGTGCGATCCGACGGGCAATTCGGCTGTCTCATCATAGCTCATCCCCGTTGCGACTTGGTCGCGGGTTTCGGCTGATAACCAGTCTTTCCTCTGAGAATCGGGGTGTCCGGAGACATCGATGAAACTATCGGCTATCCGTTAAACAACTACACTTAAGTATAGGAAGTGAGGAGTCCGGCCAGGGACGGACGACGACACGGGCCGCCCACGCGCCCCACGGCGCGCTCCTTTCTCACTCGAGCAGTAGATACAGCTTCGGTTTACAGTGATACCAATGTCAAGGTATGGCAAGGCAGGCAATAGGAGAGGCAAGTGCATGATGAGGCGGAGAGGAGCATATTTACTAAAATGGTTCGAGCCAAATGGCTGCGGGTGCGTGCGTGCGTGGGTGCGTGCGTGCGTGCGTGCGTACGTGTGTGTGTGTGTGTGTGTGCGCGTGTGAGTGTGTGTGTGTGTGTATGTGTGTGCGTGTTTGTGTGTGTGCGAACTGCGTGCGCGCGCGTGTGAGTGCGTATGTGTCTGTGTGTGCGTATGTGTGGATGTATGTTTGTGTGTGCGTGCGTGCGTAGATGTGTCCGTGTGTGCATGTGTGCGTGTGTGTGTGTGTCTGTGTGTGTGCGCGAGCGTGTGTGTGTGTGTGTGTGTGTGTGTGTTGTGTGCGTGTGTGTGTGTGTGCGTGTGTGTGTGCGTGTGTGCGTGTGTGCGTGTGTGCGTGTGTCTGTGTGCGTGTGCGTGTGTGCGTGTGTGTGTGTGTGTTGCTAAGTTCCGCCTCCTCTTGTGTCTTTCCATCTCTGGTGTTTTTGTCTGCATCCGTAGCCTGGCTCAAAACCACGAGCGGGCCCCCCCTCGGGGTCTCCCACACTCAAGGGGCGCCACGCAAGCGGGCCCCGTCCCTGCGCGCGGGCCGCGCGCCGCCAGCCGGCCCCCGGCCGCCTCCGGCGCCCCGCTGCTCCTGGCGCCCCGCCTAGCCAGGCGCATGGACTCTGAGGGGTGGCACCTGCTGGGGACCCCCCCCAGGCAATCCGGATTATCGGGTGGGGTGTGGCGAAAGTCACATCCGGGATGCCAGTCCTGTCCTGGGACTGTGCGCAGCCTGGGGCTACCGCATTCCCAGCGACCTGGTACAGACGGACTTTCACGCGACACCGACGATCCCTCGGGAGCCCCAGGGAGCCGGGCTCCCAGCCAGCCAGTCGGGCTCAGCGGCCACCTCCTCTGCAGCGATCGCGACGATCAAGGCGGCAGTCCACTCGGGTGTGGATCCTAGGGGGGCCTTGCAGAAGAGCCCAAACCAGACACTCAAGGTAACGCGCTCCCACAGAGCCCTGACCCCCTGGACGGCCTCTGGGACCCTCCGTACTCAGAACCTCTCCCCCCTCTTAACGCCAACCCCAGGATGCCCTCTCTGCGACACGGCGCACCCCCCCCCCCCAGGTGCGACAATGGCAGCAGGAAGGGCTCTGCCTCATCCCACCGCTTCTGCACCGATCAGGTGTGCAGCTGGACCTGGTGAGGAAGGGGGAGGGGGGCGGGGCCAGCACCGCGGACGCCCCCCGTGCGACACGACGCGCCCCACCCCGGGCGCGGCGATGTCTGCAGGGTCTGCTCAGCTAGTTACATTCCACAGACCCTGCACCGACTTAGTGCGCACCCAGACCTGGAAGGGAGGGGGAGGAGGAAGTGCTGAGCACCACGGACGCCCTCCGTGTGACGCGACGCACCCCACCCCGGGTACGACGGCGTCCGCAGGGAGGGCTCAGCCCCTTTCTATCGTCCCTGCACCGACTATGTGCGCACATGGACCCGGGGCGGTAGGGTGAGGAGGCGGGGACAAACACCCCGGACGCCCTCCGTGCGACACGGGGCACCCTACCCTGGGTGCGACGATGTCTGCGGGGAGGGGTCAGCCTCACTCCGCTGTTCTTGCACCGATTAGGTGCGCCCTGGGGCGGAAAGAGGAGGAAGAGACGATCACCACGAACGCCCTCCGTGCGACACGGCGCACCCCACCCCGGGTGCGACGGCGTCTGCAGGGAGGGCTCAGCCTCTTACCGCCGCCTCTGCACCGAATAGGTGGGCCCCTGGACCTGGAAGTAAAGGGGAAGGAGGAGGAGGAGGAGACGAGCACTACGGATGCTCTCCGTGCGACACGACGCACCCCATCCCTGGTGCGGCGATGTCAGCAGGGAGGCCTCAGCCAGCCTTGCTCCACCGTCCTTGCACCGATTCGGTGCACATTGAGATTTTGAGCCCCAGAGTGTATCGGTTTCGAGCTAATTTATTGCACCCATGGTAGTGGCATCGGGCCGGATCGTGGCGGGCCCTGCGCAACGCCGAGGAGGGGCGGGCCGGGGAGAGGGGGCGGGCAGAAGGGGCGGACCGTCGACGGTTCGGCCGCGGCCCTGGCGGCCGACATCTCCTCCCCGAGGGGGCGGATGTTCGTGGCGATCATCTTGCCGTCCTGGACGGCGGCGGCGGCGACGGCGACGACGAAGATGCTCGACGTCTCCCGACGACGACGACGACGACGACGACGACGGCGACGGCGACGGCGACGGCGACGGCGACGGCGGCGGCGGCGACGGCGGCGGCGGAGACCAGTGTAGGAGTTCCCTGGGCCCCCCGAGAAACCTCCGAGCAAAAAACCTGAGTTGGGATTTGTTTCGGCGGCTTCCGCCCCGGATCCCTGCGGTTGGAGCTGGGGGGGGGGTTGGGAGGTTTCCGTGGCCCGAAGCTTAAAAACAATACAATTTCGGACCCCCCCTCAAAACAAAAAACAAACAAATAACAGAAAACCACTAGGAAAATAACAACAACAATTTGGGTGGTTTTCGCTGGGTTTTCGGTGGCTCCCGGGAGCGATCGGGCAAAACCCTTCAAATCGCAATTCGGGACCCCAACAAAAAACCCAACTCTACTTTTTTTATATCATTTGTCAGGTGCTCTGGAGCCCCACATATCAAAACAAAACAAATTCTGAAAACTCCCCGGACCCCCCCCCCCAACGCGGGGGGGGGGTCAATGGTTGTTCGAAAGTTCTGGGGCCCCACAATGCAAAACACAACTGTTTCTGAAACTCGCGAACAAAAACCGGAAACAAAACAACGTTGATTTGTGTTTTCTTGTTCAAGAGTTCAGGTGCCCCAAAAATTTAAAAAATAGTATTCCTGACCCCCCCCGGAAAAAAAACGCCAGAAAAACCAACCCGGGATTGTTCGGAATTGTTTCTGAGATTCTGGGGGCCCACATACACGTAAAAACAAGAATATGTCTGAAAGCCCTTCGGAAAACCCTCGAAAAAAACTGCCCAACTCGGAAATTGTTCGGAAGTTGTTTTGGTGTTCTGGGGCCCCAGAAAACCCTCAACAAAAAACCCAACTAGGTGTTTTTTTTGTCGGCGTTTTTTCGGTAATTCTGGGGCCCCACATTTTAAACCTAAGCTCTTTCTGACAAACCATTGGAAAACCTCCGAACAACTCCCCAATTCAGGGGTTGTTCGGGTTTTCTTCACGGGTTCTGGGGCCCCACAATAAAAAAATACACCAAAGAAAAACCCCAGTGAATGGTTTTCGCTGAGGAGATCGACCGGGAACCCGGGAGACCGGGAACCCAGACCCCACCGAAATCAGCCCAAAACCAATAACCCGGAACCCGGGAAACCGGAACCGGGAACCCGAGAACCCAGCCTGCTACCAAAATCGGCGGGAAACTTTTGCCAAATCTTTCAACTTCCGCTACGACCCCTTCAGTGCAAGCACTCATTGGGGAACAATATTATTACACCTGAGAAATACCCAATCAATGGGTGGTTTGATGAGGTCGATGGTGACATCGATTGAGTGAGATGAACAATGAGATCGATCATGAGATCGATAATGAATCGTGGGATCGATAAAAAGATCGATAAAGAGATCGACCGGGAATCGACCGGGAACCCGGGAACCCAAAACCCACCGAAATCGGCCCGGAACCAATAACCCAGAACCTGGGAAACCGGAACCGGGAACCCAGGAACCCAGCGTGCGACCAAAATCGGCGGGAAACTTTTGCCAAATCTTTCAACTTCCGCTACGACCCCTTCAGTGCAAGCACTCATTGGGGAACAATATTATTACACCAGAGAAAAACCCAATCAATGGGTGGTTTGATGAGGTCGATGGTGACATCGATTGAGTGAGATGAACAATGAGATCGATCATGAGATCGATGATGAATCGTGGGATCGATAAAAAGATCGATAAAGAGATCGACCGGGAATCGACCGGGAACCCGGGAACCCAAAACCCACCGAAATCGGCCCGGAACCAATAACCCAGAACCTGGGAAACCGGAACCGGGAACCCAGGAACCCAGCGTGCGACCAAAATCGGCGGGAAACTTTTGCCAAATCTTTCAACTTTTGTTACGACCCCTTCAGTGCAAGCACTGATTGGCGAATGTCTGAGCCCCCTCCGGGAAACCGCAGAACCCCCCCCCAGGGGTTGTTCGAAGTGTTTTCGGGTGTTCTGGAGCACCAGAATTGAAACCAAGGCTATCTCTGAACCCCCTTGGAAAACCTTTGAAAACCCTCCAACTCAGGAGTTTTTGATCCGTTTTTCTTGTGTTTGGGGGCCCCACACTTTGAAACAATACTAGATCTGCCCCCCCGGAAAACACCTGAAAAAAAAAAACCCAACTCGAGGGGTGTTCGAATTGTTGTTCTCGTAGTTCTGGGGCCCCACATGTAAACACAAAACTATGTCTGAACCCCTCCCTGAAAACCATCAAAAATCATACTCTGGGTTTTCTCCTTGGTTTTTCGGTGGCCCTGGGGCCGCACAACTAAAAACAGTACTATTTCTGACCCCCCGCAGGAAAAAAACCCAACTCAGTGGTTGTTCGATGGTTTGTTTTTCGGCGTTTCTCTGGCCATCCCAGGCTCCAGGATTCCCCGCGGGAAAAAACTTACCAAAAAACAGCTCAAAGATTTGTCGGGGGCTCTCCGGGGGCTCTCCGGCCAGACCAGGCTCCCAGATTTTCCGGGGAGGGAACCTCGGAACAAAAAACCCAACGCTGTTTTTGTTCAAAGTATTTTTCGGGGGTTCTGGGGCCTCGCGCTTAAAAACACTACTTTTCCTGCAAACCACCTGGCAAACTCTCGAGAACTCCTTTTCAATTGTTTCTAAAAGTTCTCTGGCCAGCCCAGGCTCCAGTGTTCTCTGGGGAAAAAACCATCGAAAACCTGCCCAACTCTAAAGTTGTTCCGATTTTGGTTCGTTGATTCTCTGGTCAGCCCAAGCTTCCGGATTCTCAGGGAGGGGACCCCCGAAAGACCTCCAATTCGACAATTTTTCAAACGTTTTTCAGAGGCTCTTGGGCGCCGCAATCAAAACCAAAACTATGTCTGAAACCCTCCAAGAAATCCACCGAAAAAACGATCATCGCGGAGGTTTTTCTATGGTTGTTCGAAGGCATTTCGCCTCCGGCTCCTGTCCAAGGCGTACCTTTTCCTGTGCAAGCTCTTCGGCACCGCCTGCACCCCGCACCCTCCGGCCGCCCGAGGCCCCGCCCGCCCGCGCCCTGTCTCCCCCATTAATGCTTTGCGCGCCCCGCCTAGCTCTTATCCGGAAGAGGCACGCTCTCGACCCGCAGACCAAAAGTATGTTCCAGGGGCATATTTCAGCGATCGGCGGGCTGTCCCAGGCCAGCGCTGACATAAAATTAAAGCTTTGCGCGCCCCGCCTAGCTCTCAACCGGAAGAGGCCCGCTCTCGACCCGCCGACCAAAGAGTGGCCCGGCTCCTCTGAGGCCCGCTCCTCTCGCGGGCCCGCTCCTCGGAGGAGGGCCAGCGGGAGCCACGGCGGCCCCCCGCCCGGCCCAGATCCGCGCCGAGCTGGCCGCGGCCGTCGGGAACGAAACGCGTCTCGCGGGCCGCGAGAGCGAGAGAGCTCTGGGCTTGCCGTCGCTCGGACGTCAATTTCCCGTGCGTTTGTCGGTTTCGTGCGTGTCTTCTTCGCTCGATGACCCAGGATGCTCCTCAAGGGTCCTCGCCGAGAAAAAATACACATGTCCAAGCGATGCCGGGTGGGGTGGGCACGACCAGGTCAAGCATCGCTGCGCACCCTGCATCCTGTGGCCGCAGCCGTCCGGCGGCGAGGCGCCGTCTTCTTTGGACAGGCGCGGGGCTTCCTCACGGGCCGGCTGAAGCAACGGCAGCTCCCCCGCATGGCCCAGATCCATTCAAAATCGCCCCCCCCCCCCCCCCTCGTCCCCCTCCTGCTCTTCCTCCTCCTCTCCTCCTCCTCCTCCTCCTCTCCTGCTCCTCCTGCTCCTGCTCCTGCTCCTGCTCCTCCTCCTCCTCCTCCCTCCTCCTCCTCCTCCTCCTCCTCCTCCTCCTCCCCCTTCTTCTCCTTCTCCTCCTCCTCCTCCTTTTCCTCCTCGTCCTCCTCCTCCTCCATTCCTTCTGCTTATGAACAACTTCTCCCTGTCGAACCCGGAAGCCAATTTCTAGGGCGGGCCGGGCGCTTCGCCTGAGACTTCCTCACCACTTATGACTCTGAAACTTAGGAGTTGGCAAAAGCTTCACAGATGGAGGGCACGTGGCTTTCGATATGTAGCTCTCGCCTTAGCGCCGCGCGCTCTCGTCTTAAACATTTGCAGGAGATCCACGGATTGAGGGCGAGTCGTTTTCAATCTGTGGCTCTCTCCTTAGCGCCGCGCGCATTTCTCGTACAAAATAGCATGACTTTCACAAGTTGAGGGCGGCTCTTTTTCAAACTGTGGTTCTCGCCTTAGCGCCGCGCACACTCTTCTTAAACATTTGCAAGAGTTCCACGGATTGAAAGCGGTTCCATTTCAAACTGTGAATCTCGCCTTAGCGCCGCGCACATTCGTCTTTAAAAACTGCAAGAGTTCCACGGGTTCTCATGATCAACGTACCAGAAACGGTGTTTTTGAAGGACTCTAGCTTATGAGGGTGCACCGGTTATGCTGATTCGCGGTGTTCAAGCCCCAAGAACTGCTTCCTGGCACGAATCAGGACCGTCAAGACGCAACAGTCAGGTTGATCCGTGGCGCTGGAATTCCGAGACAATGTTTTGGCATTCTTCAGGGCCTTCAAACACTTGATTGTCTTCCAACGAGGCCGTTCCCTCAGTAAAAAGAACCGCGAGGCCCAGAGGGCCTCATCACGGGCTCCTAAATGGCGTGACAAGCTGGGGACACCCCAAGACCGTTTCTAGCAACACTTGAACCATATCGTCGGAAATCTGGGCTCCGCGCTGACGGCTCAGGCCAACGGCCGCCGCCGTCCGGCATGCGGAGGATCTCGAAGGTCACGTGCTGCCCAGGGATGTCGCGGGTCTCCTGCAGCGGGGCGGATCGCCGACCCCGCACTCTATCCGATCCCTCCATTGAATGCCGTCCTCTTCTTCTTCTTCTTACTATTATTATTGTTCTTATTCTTATTATTATTATTCATCTTCTTGGTATTATTCTTCTTACTAGTATGATTCTTCTTCTTACTATCATTATTCTTCTTCTTATTACTATTCCTCCTCCTCCTCATGGTCCTCCTCCCTGTAAGCTTTGCCCTCGACCCTCGAGGGTCGAAGACGCTGTTGATCCCCGTCGGGCCTCCGGAGGCCTCGCGGGGACCCCCGGGGGATCTCCGGGGGTTGGGGTCCCCGGCGGCGGCACGGCACACCGCTCCTCCCTCCTCCCTCTTCCTTGACTCTCCCGCTGCCGATCCTGCCAGCTCGTTCCCCCCGGCCCTTTCCCTCCTCCTCCTCCTCCTCCTCCTCCGTTCCTCCTCACTCCTGCCCTCTCCCCCTCCTCGTCCTCTTCCTCCTCCTCCTCCTCCTCATTTTGTCCTTCCGCCCTTCCTTCCTTCCTTCTTCCTTCCTTCCTTCCTCCTCCTCCCTTCCTCCTCATTCCTTCATCCTCCCCCTCCTTCTTGCTCCGGCCTGGTTTTTACTTCCTTTATTCTTTCCTTCTCTTCCTCCTCCTCCGCCTCCTCCTCCTCCCTTCCTCCTCCTCCTCCTCCTCCTCCTCCTTCTGCCCCTTCTCCTGCTCACCCACCGTCCCCCTACCCATTCCTTCCTTCCTTTCTCCTCCTCCTGCCCCTTCTCCTGCTCACCGTCCTCCTACCCGAAGAGAAGAGGTGCAATAGGAGGGAACGCAAGGCAATCTCCAGCTAGCCCCGGACACGTGTTCCCCCAGAGATCGTAAGTACCTCAGAGCAGCGTGCGTAGGGACGGCGCGCTGATTCACCGACGACACGCCAATGACAGTACATCGAAACGAGTACAGATCGCTGCCAGTGCATGTAGGCCGCTAGCCAGTAACGCGGTGGCGTGCCTGGCTTCGTTGAGGTCGAGCGCAGAGCCATCGACTCTCGATGCCACCTGTCATCGTGTGCTGCTGGGCTGAATCCCGACGGCGGCAACAGAAGTCGGCCTATGAGACGAACGAGAAGGAAGAACACATGTTATGCTTACTTGCCCGCAGTTTACTTCACCAGCTTCCGCAGCCCTTTCATCGAGGAGCACGTAACAGCTTCTCCTCGATTGCTCGAAGACAAAGCCCTTCCTGGAATGTCTCACCATGTATGTGGCCGACTCCGGAAACCCTGGTTCTAAAAATGGTGGCGTTTCGCTCTTACTTCAGCCGCCTCCCGCAGAAGTTCTGCAAACGGACCCGTCGCCGTGCCACTTCCGCTGGCTTCCGACGCCCTTCCGCCGTCTCCGTTGAAGGCGAGATTCGCGAAGGGCAACGCGGCACAATATAGCGGCTTTTGGAAACTCTGGATCCCGCTGCTTCCGCCGCCTTCCGCGGGCCTTTCGCCGAGGAAGAGACGTAAACTTCTCGATCCCTCGAAGGCGAGGCCATCTCTGGAGCGCCCCACGGACATACAGGCCCGCACGGCTGCGGACAAGAGCGAGGCGGGCGCAGGTCGCAGGCGGGCGCGTGTCGCAGACGGCCGTCCGTGGGTTCGCAGGCGGACTGATGGCGAGTGTCACGGCGGGGCGCCAAGAAACAAATCTCATAGCACTGGTGCGCCTGTGGGTGGCTCGGAAGGCCTGTAAAGCAGGCAAGCAGCGAGTACCTCAAACAATGAATGCATGGTTTTTGACGCCCGAAACAAGTACGGAAAAATGGGTACAATGCCCAGCAACAACTGTTGTCCCAAACCAACAGCGCCCGCTGTTGGGCATTCTGTCCCAAACGAACACAGGCCGCGGCGGCGCGGACAGCGAGCCCTGCTCAAAATGCACAGGAACCGCGGTTGGCCATTGCACCCGTTATTTCCGTACCCACTTCGTTCGTGCCGAATGGTGGGGGGTAGCATCAACGCGCGCGTGCGCCCCAGCCAAGCCCGACGGCCGCCAACAGCGGCGTGCGTCGCGGCCCACTGCACCGCCCCGGTCAGGGCCGCAGAGGCGGGTCGCCGGCGGGACACGGGGCGGGGCGGTGGACTGCGAGGGGGCAGCGCCGCCGAACAGCAGGACGTCTGGAGCTCAGCACGCCGACACCTGGCGGCGCGCACAAGGGGGCGGAGGGAGGGGGGAGGGGGCTTCTTAGAAGGAGCCTGCTTCTTAGGAGGCGGCAGCCCTGCATCTACAGATGAGGCCCACGCCTTCTGAGGAGCAGGGGTGCTTCTGAGAAGCCCTCCCCCCTTCCCCCCACCCCCCTCGGCGCGTGGCTGAAAGACGGCGCCATGCACCACAGGAACATCGTAAGACAGCTCGGCCCCCTCGGTCTGATAAAGGCCACGGGGACGAAGCGACCAATGAAGGCGAAAGGGTGGGCCAGAGAGGATGGGGGGCATGGGAAGAAAGGAAAGGGAGGTTGATGAGACTGACGATTTGGGGACGTGCTGCTCCAGCTTGGGGCTCAAGTTCTCTCTGGTGTAGTAGACGTCGGGGAAGTCCCCAAGGCCAAAGGTCATGAGGAAGCCAAAACCTTTGCAAAGCGAATCTGCGATACATCAGAATCGAACGAACATCGGTGAAAGCTGTGGCCCACGAGGATCAAACAAAATACAATCCCGTAACGAACAACATTGATGGGGGAGGCTAGCGAGACCTGGTGACGAAAATCTAGGAGCGGAACTGGCAATCAATCTTCTTAACGAGATCCGTCCTAGCGCACTCCTTCCCTCCATCCTCCCGCCGTCCTCTCTCGTCCCTCCCTCCCTCTCTCCCTCCCTCCCTCTCTCCCTCCCTCCCTCCCCTTCTCCCCTTTCATAACTCTCTCCTTTCCCTTCCTCCTTGTCGCAATCCCTGCACAGTCTTCCCACTCCCTCTCTGAAGCCCTTGAAATCTGGCCCAACGCTCTGCAAATCAGACGTGCCCCAGAAGTGCTCCACGGGGCCGTACCCGAAGGACCCGAAAGAAGCGGCTGCTGTCTTCTGAGCTGCCGCTCACCCTCTGGGCCACCGTTCGCCTAGACGTCCCTCTCGCAAGGCTCCTCAGCCCAATCCTTGCAGTCCGTGTGAACGAGGCGTGCCCCGCCCCCTGCAGCCGCCCCGCGCCGCAACAGTAGGACTGGAGGTGGGGGGCCAGGACGTGCTCAGCTTGTCGCGCCGAAGCGTGACGGGCTAGCACGGGCGGCACGAAGCGCTGAGCAAAAGATCATTCAGCGCCCCTCCAACGGGGACTCCACCGACAAGTACTTTGGCGAGTGACCCGGCAAACCCAACCCTTGCCGATGTGGGCAACGCTGCAATGCCAGAAAAAAGGACCTGAAATGGCAACTGTCGGCAAAATTTCACAGTACCCGTTAGTGAGTACCCGTTGCGGTACCGCTGAATCATGACCGCACCTCCACTCCACGCCGGCGCTGTACGCCAGCACGCTGAGCGCCTGGGCGTTCCAGGCAACGGCCTCGGCGCTTCCTGGAGCGAGGCGTCGAACTCACCAGATGGTGTGCCCCATTCGCGTTGACAGCTCGTTGAGTTCGTTCGAATCCTTTACCCTGTGAATGTGTGTACGCCGTCAGATGCATGTCCCTTACGCAATACGAGTCGCCCACATCTCAACGTTTGCGGTATACCCACTTGCAGTTCCCATGCATGATGCTGCAATCTCTCCATGTCTCTCTGTAGAGCTGCGATGTATACATGTCTCCTCCTCCTCTCTCTCTCTCTCTCTCTCTCCCTGCCCTCCTCCTAATTGAACTCAGTCGCCGCCCTACGCTGCATCTCTGTCTGGCCTCAGTTTGCAACTGTTCGACTTCGAATTGCTGTTCGCTACCTCTCACTTGGGGCAAGCTGCGTTACCTTGTAACGCAGGACAGGAATCGGGCAGAGTGGCGGTGCAATTGCAAGGTGAACCTTTGCGGTTGTAGCTCTTGACCATGCCTCCGACGGGTTACGGCGATCGTCTCAGCTAAAATTGCAAAGACTAGCACTACCAGTCAACAGCCACTCTGGAGATGATCATTATGTGCGACCCCACCTGCTCCGATCATCTTCCCATGTTCTTGTCCCCATCCTTCAGGCCTCCGTCTGGCCCCTTCCAAGGCACTTTTGGAAACAAATTGGGCCGAGTGGCCCAGGAAACGCAAAGTTTCCCACACCTGAAAAAGTCGATTGGCTGTTGAACGAGATTGGCCCTCATTGGAAGCCTCGTGGCCTTCTTCCTGGTGTTTTGAAAGCTTCTTGAGGCCCTTTTGGCGCCTCTTGGGGTCTCAAGGACGGCTGTTGGGCTGGTTGAGAACCAATGTTGGGTAATCTTGGTGGCCTTGCGTTGGTGGCCTTCCTGCTCCGTCTGGAAAGCCTTGGAGAGCTCTGAGCAGCCCTGAGGAAACTTCGAGCGGAACAGGATGCCTCGGAAGAGGGGGGGCGCACGCAACCGAATGTGGCCCCAAACAACAGAACGACTTGGACATTCCCCTTATGCTCCCACCCTCGCAGAAAGAAGAGAAACGAGAGGAGGGATAAAGAGCAGGAACAATGCCGTGCATGAGAAGGAAACATGAACAACAAACAGAAAGCGAGCGAGAAGAGAGAAACAGAGAGAGAGAGAGAAAACAAAAAAATGAGAACGAGAGAGAGAGGTAGATCCACATATCGAGAGAGTGTGTGATAGAGAGAGAGAGAGAGCGAGATACCGATCCACATCTATCATGCATGTATGTGTATGTATGTATGTATGTATGTATTTGAATACAAATGTGTATACATGAAAACAGAAAGAGAGGGTGAGCATGCTGCGTGCCTGCTATTTGGAAACGGCCCACTTGCTTGCCCCACATGCCCCACTTGCCCGGCTGGCCCCGCTCGCCCCGCTCGTCCTCCTTGCCCCCAACCCGCGCGGGCCCCGAAGCAGGTAGGAGGAGGAGGAGGAGGAGGAGGAGGCGGAGGCGGAGGAGGAGGAGGAGGAGGAGGAGGAGGAGGAGCCAGGAGGAGGAGGAGGAGCAGGAGGAGGAGGAGGAGGAGGAGGAGGAGGCAAGCGGGGCCAAGTGGTGCAGGCGAGGGCCCCCGCTCTCGGGTGCGCCTCTTGGCGCGTCTCGGAAGAGGGCACCTCCCATGGGGCCTCGCGCGTGCTCCTGCGAAATCACCCCAGAGCTCACCAGGGAACCCACGCGCGCGCCTCCTCCTCCTCCTCCTCCTCCTCTTCTTCTTCTCCTCCTCCTCCTCCTCTCCTCCTCCTCGACCTCCTCCTCCTCCTCCTCCTCCTCCTCGACCTCCTCCTCCTCCTCCTCGATCCCCCGCCGCTCCCTTGCCCCCCAGAGCCCCCGAAGGGGCGGCCCGAATGCCCCAGAATCCCTGGAGGTCCCCAGGGAAACCGCCGAGCCTTCCAGGTATCATCCCCCGGCGATCGTGCGCGTTCCTGGAAATACAGATCATGCATGTTTCATACTGTCATGGTTTCGTCATCTCTTCAATCGCGGGGGCCGGGTTGGATCCTATGTGCGCTCCTGATGCAAAACTAGCCTCCGAGGAAATCGCGTTGAAAACTGGAGCGGGGGCCCAGGTTTCCTTTGCGATGTTGGTGGCCTTCTGAGCCCAGGTCCGAGGGCATCGGGGCCGCGCGCATTGCCCGAAGAGGAGCCCAAGACTTCCCCGAGAGAACGCCGACACAGTCTCGAGGGGCGAGTGACGGCGCAGACACGGCCTCAGTAGCGCCCAAAAGGGTTCCCAAATGGTCCCCATGTAACACCAAGTCGGCCGAATGGAACGTCTCCAAACCACTTCTCGAAACTTGCTGGCAACATCTCCGGGCATTAACTGGACCTTTGGATCCCCCCTGCTCGCCCTGACAATGCCTGGCTAAACCAGCGCACTACAACAACCGATCGAAATTCACGCCAGGGCGGCGCTTCCCGCCGGGGCGAGAGAACGGAGGAACAAGGGGAGGGCGCGAATCTGCGGGCGCGAAACAGCGATGATCACGCCTTCCCGACATCATCGCCATCTCTCCCTCGCCTCTCCAGAGGCCACCGGGAACGATCGAAAACGCGCGCCTATGTCGGAGAGGCGCTGCCGGCGCTAGAGATCGGGAGCCAACGGCCTTCCCAGTCCAACGGAAGCCCCGACCCCCTCGCCCGATCCGAATTCAATCGCCCGAGCCACTCCCTCGCGATCCCGACGCTCTGCCAGCCGATCCCCGACTCTGACTGGCCCCGCCCGTCCTGCGGGGGACAGGCCCGCCCCGCGACTGGGAGATACTTCCCTCATTCCGACGCTCCTATTTCCCGCGCCGACAGACGATCGCGACTCCGCGGCCTGCCCCGCCAGAGGCAAACACGTTGCAGAAAACGCCCTGGAACGTTCGATCCTCTCCGTCCTCCTCTCCGTCTTTCCCGACCAGAGAGCCCTTTTTTTACCGACGATTGCTATCCCGCTCTTGGCAGGATGCCTGTTTGTTGCTTCAGGTGGCGCGCGGGCTCTGCTGGCGAGGGCCAGATCCGCCGACCCCAGATGCGCGCGAGGCAAAGGGGCGGGACTCTCCACCACGCCCCCGCCACGTCTGACCCCAGCCACCTCGACCTCCTGGGCGCCCCAGCCATCTCGACCTCCTGCGCGCGGTGTTTAGGGCGCCCCCACCCTGCGCAAACTCGCGCCGGCGTCCCACGCCGCGTCATCTGACATCCGCTCCCGCCGCGCCTGACACCACCAGCCCCCTGGCGTCCTGGGCCTCAGGGGCCACCCACCCTGCAGAAACTTCGCCGGCACCCCCACCACGCCCCCCACCGCGCCTGACATCGCCAGCTCCCCGGCGTTTTGGGCCTCTGTTCTCAAGGGCTACCCACCCTGTGAAAACCTCGCTGGCACCCCCCACCACGCCCCCACCGCGCCTGACACCGCCAGCCCCCTCGCGTCCTCGGCCTCGGTTCTCAGGGGCCACCCACCCTGCAAAAACCTCGCCGGCACCCCACACCACGCCCCCACCGCGCCTGGCACTGCAGCCCCCTGGCGTCCTGGGGCCACCCACCCTACAAAAACATCGCCGGCACCCCCCCCCCCGCGCCCCCGCCGCACCTGACATCGCCAGCTCCCTGGCGTCCTGGGCCTAAGTTTTCAGAAGCCACCCACCCTGCAAAAACCTCGCCGGCACCCCCAACCACGCCCCCCACCGCGCCTGACATCGCCAGCCCCTGGCGTCCTCGGCCTCGGTTCTCAGGGGCCACCCACCCTGCAAAAACCTCGCTGGCACCCCCCAACACGCCCCCGCCACGCCCCCACCGCGCCTGACACCGCCAGCCCCCTGGCGTCCTGGGCCCCGGTTCTCAAGGGCCACCCACCCTGCGCAAACCTCGCCGGCACCCCCCACCACGCCCCCGCCGCGCCTGACCCCGCCAGCCCCCCGGCGTCCTGGGGCCACCCGCCCTGCAAAACCTTGCCGGCACCCCCCCCCGCGCCCCCGCCGCGCCTAAGCCTGAGTCCTTAGGGGCCACCCACCGTGCAAAAATCTCGCCGGCACCCCCCGCCACGCTCCCACCGCGCCTGACACCGCCCGCCCCGTCCTGGGCCTAAGTTCTCAAGGGCCATCCACCCAACAAAACCTTGCCAGTGCCCCCCACCGCGCCCCCGCCGCGCCTGACACCGCCAGCCCCCTGGCGCCCTGGGCGTACGTTCATGCCCCCACCCACCTTGCAAAAACCTCGCTGGCGCCCCCCGCCGCGCCCGCGCCGCGCCTGACACCGCCAGCCTCCTGGCGTCCGGGCCTGCGTTCCCAAGCGCCACCCACCTTGCAAAAACTTCGCCGGCACCCCTGCCACGCCCCCCACCGCGCCCCCACCGCGCCTGACACCAGCCCCCTGGCGTCCAGGGCCTTGGTCCTTGGTTCTGAAGGGCCACCCATCCTGCAAAAAAACCTCGCCGGCACCCCACCTCGCCTGGCACCGCCAGCCCCCTGACGCACAGGGCGTAGGTTCTTACGCCCACCGTGCAGAAACCTCGCCAGCGCCCCCCGCCACGCCCCCGCCGCGTCTGACACCGCCAGCTCCCTGGCGTCCTGGGCCTTGGTCCTTAGGGGCCACCCACCCTGCAAAAATCTCACCGGCGCTCCCCGCCGCGCCTGACACCGCCAGCGCCCGGGCGCCTTGGGCCAGGGGCCACCCGCCGTGCAAGAAACTTCGCCGGCACCCACCACCACGCGCCCCCTGGCGCCCCCTGGCCTCGGTTCTCACCCACCCTGCAAAGACCTCGCCACCACCCCCGCCGCGAACTCACCGCGTCTGACACCGCGCCGCGCCTGACATCGCCAGCCCCCCGGCGTAGGTTCTCAGGGGCCACCCGCCCTGCGAAACCCTCGCCAGCGCCCCTCCGCGCCGCCGCCGCGCCCGACGCAGGCAGCCCGGGCGCCCAGGGCTTAAGTTCTCAGGGGCCACCCACCCTGCAAGAACCGCGCCAGCGCACCCCGCCGCGCCTGACACCGCCAGCCCCTGGCGCCCTGGGCCTCAGTCACCGCGCCTGACGCCGCCAGCCCCCCGGCGTCCTGGGCTCTCCGGGGCCACCAACCCTGCAAAAAACCTCGCCGGCTCCCGCCGCCGCGCCCCCGCCGCGCCTGACGGCGTCAGCATCCTGGCGCTCTGAGACTAAGTTCTCAGCGGCCACCCACCTTGCAAAAACAGCGCCGGCGCCCCCCACCGCGCCCCCGCCGCGCCAGCACCGTCACGGCCGCCGCCGCGCCCTCACCGCGCCTGACGCCAGCCCCCTGGCGCCCCTGCAGGGCCTAGGCCCCCGTTTCTGAGGGGCCGCCCGCCATGCAAACGCCCCGCCAGCACCACCGCCCCGCCGCGCCCCCGCCGCGTCTGACACCGCCAGCCCCCTGGCGTCCTGGGCCTAGGTCCTCAAGGGCCACCCGCCACGCAAAAACCTTGGCGGCGCCCCCCGCCGCGCCCCCGCCGCCC